GGCGACGCGCGGTCGAAGGTGAGGCCGTCCAGGCCGCAGATGAAGCAGTTCTCCACGGTCTTGCGCAGCCGCTCGCCCTTCTGGTTCCTCAGCTCGCCGAACGTGTCGATGATGATGCCGAAGATCACGTTCAACAATACAATAAGCACGATCAAGAAGTAGAGGAAGTCGATCCAGAGGCGCGTGGACCACGTGTGCTTCATGATGTCGCCGATGCCGCCGGACAGGCGCAGGCCGTACATCATCGTCACCGCGAAGCACCGCAGCAGGCTCCGGCAGTCCTCGGGGAAGCTCCCCTCCGGCCCCTCGTCCGTGTAGGAGAAGTCGTCGGAGAAGGACTGGAAGACGATCATCGCGAAGATGTAGACCACGAAAAACCCGAGCAGCGCCGTCGCGCCGAGCTGGCGCCGCGGGTAGACGATCGCGTTGATGACGTCCTGCGACGTCGGGTCCTTGACGATGATGTCCAGCAGCAAAAACGCCGAGAAGATGCGGAACTTGAGGCCCAGCGCCGCGAACAAGGTGTAGATGAAATAGTAGAGCGTCATGGCGTCGAGCATCGTGTTCAACAGCGCCATGGCCGGGCCCTTGCCCTTCTCGATGAGCGACGCGTACGTCACGGGGCACCGGACCACTAAAAACAATAAAAGCGTGAAGGAGCTCAGCATGATGTTGAAGACGTTCAGGGGCGTCAGCACGAAGTCGTAGACCGACTTGCGGTTGCCGACCCACATGAGGTCGTTCTCCTTGGTCTGAAACGGCCGCGGGTTCTCCGGGTTCTCCGGCCGCTCGTGCTTCGCGTAGGCCATCATGATGCCGTTGATGACGCAGGCCGTGTAGAAGGCGAGCCACGTCGCGTACTCCTGGTTCCGCCGCGAGAATATCGACGACAGCGAGATCTGGCCGAACTTGATCTCGCTGAGGAGCTGCTGGTGCGAGATCTCGCGGAAGATGTCGTGCGCTCGTACCAAAAAGTCCTGGAGCCGCAGCTCGTCCGTCGTGCGGTCGACGTCCGTCACGAGCTTCTGGCGCGTCGCCTCGGAGATGTGGTCGCAGATCGACGGCACGGGGAAGAAGCGGCGCAACAGCACGCCGTCCCAGACGACCTCGACGGACGTCACGCGCTTCGCTAGGAGGCGCTGGATGGGGCGGCTCAACGTCACGGTCTCCCGCAGCGCCGGCTTGTAGTCGAAGAACATCTGGCAGAGCACGGCGGCCTCCATCTGGATCTCGCCCAACTCGCGATGCTTCTCGTCGGCGAAGTCGTCCTCGTCGCGCTCCTCGATGATGTCCTTGAGCACCTCCAGGTCGATCACCGAAATGATGCGCGTGATGATGACGCTGTTGCCCGTCTCGCCCTCGAGCAGCCCCTCGTAGATCTCCAGCGCCGTCTTTTTGGTTTCGTTGTCCTCCTCGACGA